TGAAACCCGCTCCGTTTGAAAGCAGATTGCACGTGCAATCAACACACAATGATGGAACGAACATTCAGTGCAGTTGCTGCCAACATGAAAGTGAACACAATCTCGCCACGGCTAAGTTGTTTCGAAAAAGTCAAAATTCAGCAAAGGATATTTTTTCGTCTCAAATGAGGGCAATAGTAAATTCGGCGCGTGTACGAAGCATATGCATGCTCTGTGCCGGTTTACGCGTTTTGCACGAACTGGCCATTTTCCTACATAATTCCACGTTGGTTGTACCTAACTCAAAAACTATCGGCATTGGATAGTTTATGTCACATCATAGCATAGGAAGGGAATTCTGCGTCACAACAGGTGTAACGCAGCACGTCGGCAGAATTTGAAAACGGCCGTTTTTGTGTAGTAAAAAGTTTCAAGCTCATATCTCTCGAACAAATGAAAATAGAAGGCTGCTTTTACTTCCAAACGATGTAGAACGATGTTGCAAGCTGCTGACTACATCCTTGACCACCGGGTGATGAGAACAATATTTTGGGCGTGAGCATCTTTTAAATATTCAATATTTTGAAAATGCTATTTTGCGTTATAACATGAAAGGGTATGGTCTATTTAGTGTGTGTATGAAGCGGCAAGTGTTTCTGTGCATGGAAAAAGTTCCTACACCAATTGCAAAGTCTACAGCAAGCGCGGCTCGTAGTTTTTCAAATAATTTCAAAACTATATAAGTGATAACATTTCTAGGTACACCATCACAATTATCATGCAATTACGCGTCTAATTACCTATAATACAATGAGATTCCACCGCTTGGAAATTGCACCAGTGTTGATGTGCGCATACTTCCAGTGTTTTGTTTCTGAAACCCGCTCCGTGTGAACGCAGATCGCACGTGCAAACGACACACAATGATAGAACGAACGTTCGGTGCAGTCGCTGTCAACATGGAAGTGAACACATATCTTGCCACGGCTACTTTGTTGCGAAACAAATCAAAATTCAGAAAAAAAATATTTTTTCGTCTCAAATGAGGGCCAATAGTAAATTTAGTGGGTATACGTAGCGGATGCATGCTTTGTGCCGGCTTACCCGTTTTGCACAAACTGGCCATTTTCCTACACAATTTTACGCTTGTTGTACCCAACTCAAAAACTACCGGCACATGACAGTTAATGTCTCACCATAGCATGGGAAGGCAATTCTGCGCCAAAACAGGTGTAACGCATCACATTGGAAGACGTTGAAAACGGCCGTTTTTGTAGTAAAACCTACAGAAGTCATTTATTTCGAACTAATGAAAATAGAAGGCTGCTTTTACTTGCAAACGATGTGAAACGATGTTACGGGTTCTGGAGGTTTTTCAAATAAGTTCAAAGCTATCCATGTGAGAAAATTTCAAGTGACATCATCGTATTTGCTTTGCGATTACTAGTAGAACTGCATATAATGCAATGAGGTTCCACCGCTTGGAAAATAGACCATTCCTGACGCGCGCAAATTTCCATGGTTTTGTTTCTGAAACCAGCTCCGTTCGAAACCAGATTGCAAGTGGAAACGACACACAATGATGGAACAGATATTCATTTTCTTGTTGTCCACATGCAACTGAATTAAATCTCATCGCGGCCACTTTGTTGTGAAAAAAGCCAAATTTTTACAACGAATGCTTTTTTTTGTCTTCAATGAGGGCCAGTAGTAACTTGAGCGTGTGTACGCAGCAGAGTCATGTTCTGTCTCGGTTTACGCCTTTTAAAAGAAATGGATATTTTTCGACATGATTCCACATTGATTGCACCTAAATGAAAACCTATCATCCTTGTACAGTTTATGTCATGCCATAGAATGGGAAGGCAATGCTGCATCAAAACAGGTGTAACGCAACACATTGACAGGATTTGAAAACTGGTGATTTTTGGGTTGTAAACTTTTCAAGCTCATATCTCTCGGAGCAATGAAAATAGAAGGCTGCTTTTGCTTGCAAACGAGGTATGACAATGTTGTAAGTTGTTGGCTACACACTTAATCACGGGGTGATGAGAAACAGATTGGAGCGTGACCATTTTGAAGTTAAACATTTGGAGATGCTATTTTTGCTATAGAATTAAAGGGTGTGGTTCATTTATTGTGAGTGTGAAGCGGCAAGTGTTTCTGTGCATGTAAACAGTTTGTGTAAGAATTGCAAAATTTTAGCGCGGGTTGTGAAGTTTGTTTAAATGACTTTAAAACTATGCAAGTGAGAAAAATTTCAATTTGCTCCGTCGTATTCGCAGTAAGATTTTGCGTCTAATGACATAATACAATGAGATTCCACCAATTGCAAAATGGACTGTTCCGGGTGCGCGCAAGCTTTTATGGTTTTGTTTCGGAAACAACCTCCGTTCGAAAGCAGGTTGCACGTGCAAAGAATGCACAATGATGGAACAAACATTCATTGTCGTTTTTGACAACATTCAACTGAACACAAATCTCAGCAAAGTGACTGTTGCGAAAAGTGAAGTAGTGAACCGGTTCTCTTTCGTCTCAAATGTGTGCCAATATTGAATTGAGTGTGTGTACGAAGCGAATGCATGCTCTGTCCCGGCTTACGCGTTTTACACGAAATGGCCATTTTCGACATGACCCCACGTAGGTTGTACCTACTTTAAAACCTATCAGCATGGGACAGGTTATGTCACACCATATCATCGGAAGGCAATTCTGCGTCTAAAGACAAGTAGCGTTTTTTTTTAACGTAGAATTGACGCAAACGATACACGATGAAGAAAGAAATATTTATTGCCGTTGTTGTTAACATAGAAGTGAACACCAGTCTGACCACGGCCACTTTTCTGCGAAAAATTAAAATTCTGAAACGAGTATTTTTTCGTGTCAAATGAGGGCCAACAGTATATTGGGGATGTGTGCGAAGCGAATGCATGTAATGTCCACTACCTGTGATTTTCCAAGCCCTAGCTGATTTCGCACAAACACTCGCATTTTAGGCGGTGAGCTGTTTTTGAAAACAAGGCAATGGCTCACATGAGGCTGTTTAGTGCACTGCCTGTGAAAAGAAATGGTCGACAGCCAGGATCCCCTTGAATGCGTTCCCGCATGTATTAATCCCGGCCTTTGTAAGCCACACCACCGCGTTTGCACCTTGTCACCGGGATACCCGGCCGTCAGCGGGGATTAGCGGAAAAACAGGTAACGTGTTGGATGTTTCTGGGTTCCACCCCTATGTTCCTAACCTCCCCTATTCAATGCCTTTTGGCATAGCTCGCGAGCAAACATGCGCTTTGAGGGGTCCGAAAAGGTTCCAGGGGTCAGTTCCCCTTGTGACGACGAAAGCAAAGCAGTTCCGTGCAAGTCATCCGTGCTCCGACGGATTCCTTCCTGAAGCCATGCTCTTCCTGCCGGATGTCGTGTTTGACGTCAGCGAAATTTTGACCGTAAGTGGTCGCTGTTCCAAGTAGTTTGTGTCGTGGTCAGTCTGATTCTTCGCCGTTACGTCATTGATGTATAATAAAACCCGGGCGAGTAACGCCACGTCTGCCGAGTGTGTTGTGCTGCCAACGAACTTTGTCTTCGAATAAAACCGTTTGCATACTAGCGCTATCACACAGCCAGTTTAGTACCAAGTTTGCGATCTCATGGGACGAAGCTATCAAGTAATGCAAACATGGATTAACTGAAAAGGGACACGATAATGAAACAATGTTTTTTTATTAAAAACTGGAAGCTATTTCTCTGGCCGGATAACAGTTCGGTGGCCTTGATTCTGTCACTTCGATTTTTGGGATATTTCAGATTTGGTTCCAGCGCAGGTATCTGTCCAACGTTGAGTTGTTAAGTGAAAACGACTATGAGGCGTTTTCGTTGAGCATAAATGCTACGCTTTACTGTTGGGCTTCAGCTGCGTAGTGACGTAACCCTTATTTTGCCATCTCTGTTCATCTATGAACTCGCCAGTGGTGGCGTCATCCTCAGCACTAAGACGTCAGTTTATGACCGGGTGGTTACATTAGCAATAATTTCGTATAAATACAGCAGCGTAAATTATTGCCGCAAAATATGTTTCCGACGCCTGAGAAGCAAAACCATCTTTCAGATTCCATTGTTTATTGTTAAGTGTGTGCTCATTGCTTGTAGCCAGTTATCTGTATTCCCTCGCATATCGCTTTTGATGCGAAGGTGAACTTGACTTTTCGAAACAAAAGCTTTTTTCCAATGAGGTTGTTTGGGGCGCAAAAACGTACGTGACATTGTAGTATCGTCCGCTCTCACAGCCCGACCAAACACTATGTCGGGTGTTTCCGTGGGTATTTGCCCAATACCTCGGTAGTGACAATAGCAATATAACGTTCGAGGCGACCGAACACGCCGCGCCCCCGCCACGCGCCACCACCCAAGGTCAACTCTCTCGCGCAACTGCCACTTGCCTGGCGCGTAGGCGCCCTAAACAACTGTCATGCACCACATTCCTCCTCCCTTTGAAAGAACGTTGCCCCTTACATAATTTGAATCAACCTCTCACGCGGTTTCTTATTCCGGTTACTCCGACGCACAGCGCCGCTGGACTCCCCGTGTACATCTGCGCCCTCTGGCCGCTGACCACTAACGCCACCTGACGTTCGATCGCCGCCAGCACTCAGACCAGACGGCCCGCCCGCGGCCGCAGCTGTCGTCGCTGGCTGGTGTGCTGAAGGCGTCTCCTCGGACGGTTCCGCCTCCGACGTCCCCTCGGACTGCTCCGCCTCGGATGCCGGTCGATCAGTGTCCAGGTCCACCGAGCCGTCCGATTCGGGTGCTGACGTAGCCGGGCTGGCGCAGTCTGCCGCTGCCGGTCGCGGCCGCGCCCGGCTCCTCACGTTGTGGGCGATCTGCTGGCGCCGCCGTTAGCCGTTCACCGTGCACCCGAGTGCCGTCTTCCAGGCGGCAGCTCACCGGTCCCAGGCGGGCCTCGATCCGGAGTGGCTCAGAGAAGCGTGGGCACCCTTACGGGGCCGGGGCATTCGCCGGATCCTCACCTGGTCCCCCACGTCGAATGGCGGCGTGCGCGCCCCGCTCCGTCCGTCGGCGTAGGCCTTGTGATAGGCCTGGCGGTTCTCCATCCGTCTCCGCACTTCTGACTCCGACACGGCCTGCTTTTCCGTTTTCAGAGCTGCGGCATACAGGTTTGTCCGCAACTGCCGACCGTGCAGCAGCTCGGACGGGCTGACTCCGGTCGTTGCATGCGGCGTGCTGCGGTATTGTTGCAAAAGCTTTTGCAAATACCGCGCTCTTCCCTCGCCGCTCTTGTCCGCCGCCTGGAGTGCCGCCTTAACCGTCCGATTGGCCCGCTCCACCGCACCTGACCCGGCCGGGTGATAGGGCGTGACGTGGATGTGGTGCGTCCCCACGCTCAGCAGGTGGGCTTCGAACCTTCTGAGCTGAAATGGCTCCCGTTATCCGATACTAGCTCTCTCGGGTAGCCCTCACGAGAGGCCAGCGTCTCCAGAAACTGGACCGCTGCCTCCGTGCTGGGCTCGGCACAGAAGCCCACCTCGATCCACTTCGAGTAGTAGTCGATGAGCACGACAGCGAACCGCTGCTGTCTCGGCGCCTCCATGGGTCCGATAAAGTCCAGCCCGACTTTATCCCATGCTGTCTCCGGCAGCGGCACCGGCTGGAGCGGCGTGCTGCGGGTGTTGGCCGACTTGTCCAGCGCCGCACACACTTCGCAGTTCGTCACGGCATCTTCGATTTCGGCGTCCATCTTCGGCCACCAGTAGAGGTCTCTGGCTCGCTGCTTCGGCCGCACGATTCCCTGATGTCCTTCGTGAGCCAGGGCTACCATCCGTGGTCGCAGCGCGGGGGGCACGACCACTCGTTGGCCGCGCACCACCAGGTCGCCCACCAGACTCAGCTCCTCTCTGCAGTGGAAGAACGGCTGCAGTTGCTCCGAGCAGTCCCGGCGCCTCCGCGGCCACTGTCGCGGAATCTGCTGCGTCAGCTGACGTAGCACCGGGTCCCGTCCGGTCGCAGACAGCAGCTCGTCCCGCTGCACCGCCTCAAGCTGGGCGGTCACCGCAGCTACTGCTACGACGTCGTCTTCCACGTCGCCTTCCTCCCCCGCTGGAAGTCTCGACAGGCCGTCAGCTGGGTTGTCTCCGCCTTTCACATGTTCCACGGTGAAGTCATAGGCCATCAGACGTAACGCCCCCCGGGCGATTCGGAGACCGGCTCGGCCCAACCCCGGTGACGTCATCAGAGTTCTGAGAGCGGCGTGGTCCACCCGGAGACAGAACGGCTTCCCCCACAGGTACTTTCCTCCATTTCTCGACAGCCCAGACGCAGGCCAGAGCCTCACGCTCCGTTACACTGTAGCGTCTCTGGGCTGGGTTGAGGCTGCAGGAGGCGAAGCTCACCACTCGCTCGCCCTGCGAGTGGAGTTGGGAGAGAACTGCTCCGACTCCCACGTCGCTGGCGTCTGTGGTGACCAGCGTTGGCAGAGACGGGTCGTACATCGCCAGTGCCTGGCTCTTGAGGATGCCCTGCCGCACTGCGTCCATCACCGCCTGCAGATCGGGCGTCCACAGGAACGGTGGCGCCCCCTTCCGCAGCAGACGGCGCAGCGGCTCCACCAGGGTGCTGGAGCTCGGGACGAACCGACTGTAGAAGCCGAACAGGCCCAGCATGATCTGCAGATCCTTCAGCCCTGAGGGTGGGGGCAGGTCTCGGAGAGCCTGAGCCCGGGCCAGGTTGACTGCCACCCCCTGCTGCGAGACGATGAAGCCCAGAAACTCCACCTTACGCTGGCGCATCCTGCACTTGTCCATGTTCAGTGTGATGCGACGTCGCCTGAGCCGCTCCATGACGGCTGACAACTGCACCTCGTGCTGACTGGGTGTCTGAGCGAAGATGATGACGTCATCCAGATACACCTGCACTCCATTGATGCCCCGAGGGACAGCTTCCATCACCTTCTGGAAGGCTTGCGGCAGGCTCTTCAACCCGTACGGGCACCTCTTGTACCGCATGAGGCCCTGATGGATGATGAACGTTGTCAGCGACCTCGAATCAGGATGAAGCTCTAGCTGGTGGCATGCTGACTTCAGATTCAGGCTGCTGAACACCGTATCTCCCTGCAGCTGCTCCAACAGGTCCTGCATGTCGGGGAGTGGATGTCCGCTTGCTTCCACTGTCTTGTTGACTTCCTTGAGGTCCACGCAGAGCCTCAGCTGACCATTCCGACGTCTGGCCGGACCGTTGTACATACGCCCGCTGGCATAGCAACGAGAGGTAACGTGCCGCGCCGCGGTGCGGTGCAGTGGACATGTGTAGCATGTTGTGGCGGCGCGCCCGCCGCAGATACCTGTGACGCCCGGCTGATGGATGTTCGCTAACGGCGTCCCCGGCTCCACTGCCGAGTCGACAGCCGGAGTACGGTCCTGATCTCTCCACTGCATTTTAGGTTATTTGTACGCTGCATTTCGGCGCTTCTCAGTCCAGGCGTCCCATCCAGTCGCCACGGCGAAGATTAGGAACTCCCTGAAACACTGGGTCCATGGGATCTGAGAACGGCCGGGGGCCATCAAAAATGGCGGCGGGGCACGCAGGCTGTCCATGGCGTCGGCCACGTGGTTCACTACCCGTCGCCAAATGTAGCATCGTCCGCTCTCACAGCCCGACCAAACACTAAGTCAAGTGTTTCCGTGAGTATCTGCCCCATACCTCGGTAATAACAACAATAGCAATAATATAACGTCCGGGGCGACCGGACACGCCGACTCCCCCCCCCCCCCCCCCCCGCGTCCGCGCCACGCGCCACCACCCAATGCCAACCCTCACGCGCAACTGCCACTTGCCTGGCGCGTAGGCGCCCTAAACAACTGCCATACACCACAGACATGTAGGTTTATATCTTCTGAAAATGTTCTATTTGCGAAACTAACGCTGAAAAATCAGTAAAGGTGAAACGTACGCCCAGTTCTTTTCCTACCTTGGTGTCCTTTGAGACTTGTGGTTATATCTCTTTGCATAAAAATTTCCGACATTTGTCAAGAAACGTTCATCATTGAAGAGACAGTCGGACAATGCAAAAAAGTCAATCATGACTCTGGACTTTCTGCCTGATCTAAATGACTGAATCGTCTTGAATCATTAGAGCATATGGACGTCGCAGACCATGAGCAGGCGATGCGCCCGAAAGCACCACGCACCGAACGTCGTCACCGTCATCTAGGCATGTGGCAATGCATGGAAACCTCAGCGTTGCCCGTTATGTCGCGTTGGGAGGGGAGGGATGAGAACGATGGGGAGGGAGGCTCCCAGTGGGCCCTGGCCAATGTAATTCCCTGTTTGTTTCGCTGACATCCAAAGCCGTGGGTGCTGGATAACGGGCAGCACGTGAATGGTGGCTGAGTCTATCTTACAGAGGGATAGTTGTGATATGCATTGCTAACGCCGCGTCATTTTCCAGGAATACAAGCTTTCTGATGGCACTGTCGAGGACATTCTGAGCCATCTGCCGGAGCCAGGGGCGTTCGAGTGCGACATTCCAGCGCTTTCGGGTACGTGACGGGATGGAAATGTTTTTAACCTCTCGCGTGATGTCCTCATCACGCAAAAGCATGTATCCGATAGGTTAATAACGGCATTTCGTTCGATACGTGCCTATAATCAGTGATATTTTGTGTTGTTTCGCCAAACATACCTGCAGAAAATCCGCAGTGCTCCGTGAAGCAAGTTCTGCCGTGGGAAGTGCCTGGGACCTGTAACGTGTTTGGGCGCAGAAATCGTAACTTTGGATCAGGATTGCGATAGCTTCTAACTTTGTTTGGTTCTGCTTTTTACCCAGTGAACGAGCTTTGCATAAACTTGGGAAAGCTCAATACCAACACCATGTTACGTCTTTCTTTGCTGCACCCCTTTATCTTATCTCACCCTTATTCTACTTTTCACAACGAACCTACAATCACATAAAATGTTCAAGCTCATCAATACAAGCCGAGTTGCGGGTACTTTAAGGGTACGTTTATTGACTCAACCGCATGGCTGAACGTCCATGGTGGAGGCACACAAGCACGCTTACGCTTTGAGTTCCTGCCACTTGCCGTGTGTATGGCATACTTCCAACGTAACAGTTATCCTTTATTCAACGCATTTACATCTAGAAATCTTGCTAAGATCTTGAAGATTACCACCCTTTACTAAGGAACGATGGAAGTCTTTTAAAATTCGCCCTCTCCTAGAAAAATCCGCAACGCAAACACGATACCAGAGCACGCTTTTGTAACTCGCTAACGTTTGTTCTCTCCCGTTCCAGACTGCCTTCCAGTGTGAAGAAGAGATGCTGCAGCGGCTCCGCTAGTGCTTCTGTATCGTTGCGCGGAGAGACAAGCGGAACTTTGTATACGGTTTATCGTGCGAACGAAACCTGACGTGCATCGGTGTGGTTTGTGTATTTTACATGTGCATGTGGCGCGCATAAACAAGCGGATCTTTTTTTACATTTTACTATGCGAATGATACCTGCACTGCTTTGGTGTTGTTTGCGTATTTTGTAGTGTAAATCTTTTCAAGGGTGTAGCATTGTGTGTTCGCTTTTCACACAAGATTTGCTTTGCAATGATCTCTAATGCGTTTCCGCCATTGTGGCGGTGCTTGAATTTCACGAACTGATGCAATCCACTCAGTGAAAAGCTACCGAGAAAGAGCGGAAGTTTTCACTTGACGCCATAATACGAAGAATATGGCTGAATAAGGCAGTGTTGCAACCATGCTGACCCTTTCAGTTTGATTACACACACTTTTGATAACGAAGAAGATTGTGTTATGCCACCATTCAGCACGTTGACCGAAATCACTTCACCTGCACCGGGGAGGTGGTTTTTGCGCTTCCTCAAAATCCTCCACATGTTCAGTCGGTTGACAAGCCGCCGTGATAATTGCGAACCTGACCCGTACGGCGTGCATACTGGTACAATCGAGGTGACAGTCACACACCGACAGTACAACGCGAAGATGGGGCCGAAATGTGCTGGGCTGCTGAAAACTTCGCAAGGGAGTTGATGATGACGCGAGGAACAAAGCACACAGTCGGCCAGCTCCGGTGGCTTTGTACAAAAGCGTCAGTGTTTCATGCGTCGGAATGTCGACAACGGGCATCTCCTCCGGCGCATCTGGACTACCCACCATGTGGTCTTTTTTGCGAGTTCCGACAAGGCAATTGCAGTAACGTAAATAACCGCAGAATGATGCTTATATTTTTCACCATACAATTACCGTAGAAAGAAAGACAACAACGGAGGTGTGAGAACGCTGGACGGTAGAATAGCTATAATTGCGTATGCTGGGATGGGTGATAGGCGTCACTAACACCGATCAAAATACCATAGAGCTTATCTGCCAGTGAGGTGGCATGGTTCGCTTTAGGCGCTCGCCATTTGCCCTTGACGGATGAAGCCTGCGGCCGGTGGCAGCGGTCGCGCTGAAGGTCAGTTGATGTCAGGGAGCTGGATAGACCGTGCCGGGCATTGCGGCACGTCAAACCTTTGCCATTAAATTCTGCTGTTGCCTGGAATTGCAGAATCAGATGGTAGAGATTAGGGCTCACACAACAAGCACTGCTTAGCGTGATGTCTGATGCCAGAAGTGCATCCATTCAGAGGATTCGTACCAAATCTTTAAAAAAGAAATCACAGCCAATGCGTTACAAAGCATTGCAGTCGGCTTTTGGCGCTAATGACTAGTTTATAGTTAAGCACCTGCGCCAAGCTCAATTCCTATTTTCAAGCAGGTGTGTCTCGCTAGAAATGTATGTTGGGCCGATCAAAAACCTGGCGAAACATTCTAGATCTTGGAAAGAAATCCCAAATTTCATACGATATGTCGAAAACAGTTTAAACCATATGGCTGAATCATAGTCAATTAACGCGAGATCATTCGAGATAAAAGCATAACAATATTTCAGACGTCAGAGGATTCCTTGGCAGCGCTTCAAAAAGATCATATATCTTAGAATATCCTAAGATAAGATTTCAAAAAGATTTAAGTTCCGGAGAGATCCTTGTCATTTGTAATATGTCAAAACTCAAAACATATTTCAATCAGATCAATAAAAAACACAAGTTTTATGGCATTAGAATGATTCAAGATCTCAGAAGATCCTTCGACAGCTACTTGCAATAACAAGTTGTGAATTATAGAAATATAGAGATTATGGCACGAATGCTGGCAAAATGATACCGGAAGAGAGTTCCTGTATAATATATGTATTATATGCTTGATTCCTGAAAGTTTACGAAATATGCGAACGCAGACCAGGTTATGAAGCTACGTAGTCCAGACAGCACAAAATGCGTAGAGATTAGACCAGCCTAGAACCCCGTTTATGCACCAATTATGATAGGGAGGGCAAACATAAGAGCAGGGAAGAGAATGAGGCAAAAAAGGTCAAAGCCAATGGGGAAACAAAGTTAAAATATGCACGTCCTTCCCCATCAAGTGAGTCATTGAGTTTCAGTAACTCTTACGTCATGACATTGGGACTAAATTGGGCCGAAAGCATGTGTCCGAGCCCATTCGAGACACTGCGGGGTATAGGCGGTATGCTGGAACTGCTTTTCACTCAGGTGGAGGGGTGATCTTGACGATATTGACTATTGACAATATTGCGATTATGATCATTGTTGACAAGGCTGCAGAAAAGCATATCATTACTGATGTGTTTAACATCACAGAAGTGGGCTAGAACATACCACAAATGACAGCTTACTATGCGCGTCCACCGGCTGTTGTTCCCATCCCGACCGAATCACGGACGCCGGTTCGATCCGAGGCTGTCCCTTGACTCCTCCCCGCCGGACGGGCGCGTGCCACGACAGTCTCTTCCGTTTCCTGCATAACTGGGGAATGGGAGGGGGGGGGGGGGGCACGGGCATGTGACCTCCCGGCCGGGTTCTGCGTCTCGGGGCGACAGGGTATGAAATCCTGATTAATGATGGGAGGGGGCATGTGTCACGCAGGTTTCGGACGCTGGACCAGCGCGTGGCTGTAGACTTGTGAGGACGGAGAACGCAAATTTGATAGTAATCAAACACGTGGTCATGTATGAATAACTGTATGACAGGTGATGGGCCGCGTTTTGATTGTTTGGCCCTGAAGCGAGGCCGGAGGTGCTTTGGTCGGGCGGCGACAGCGCACTCGCGCCCGGCGTTGGTGGACACGGCGAACGGCGCCGGTGACTCGCGCTTCATCGCGGCGGCTCGTTCATTAGCCTTCGCCGAGGCTTCCTTGGTTTCGTCGTTAGAGGTGGGCATGAGGATTCAGGTTGTTTCATTACGGCCCTAAACTTCCCCGCTTCGCGGTCGGGCTCGGCGTAAGGCCGCATCCGCATGCTCATGAAAGTTTTCTAACGGCTCAAACGTTAGTGTATTTGTCAGCTCGTCGGTGTCTTTTTTTGTTTATTTAGTTTTCACAATGATTCGTAACAGAAAGGGGAGGGGTCCCACCCGTGTGCGAGCCAAGAATGAGTGGGGTCACATGGGCGCCAGGGGAGATGTGTACTTCAAGTGAATGGCGTACGACGCCGAATGCATGGAGTCTGCGTGGATTCGTTAAGAACAGGTGGGGAGGGAGGCTCCCAAGATTGACATCCAGTGGGCCCTGGCCAATGTAATTCGCCGTTTGCTTCAAATATCTGCCAATGCGGGCGTGCAGGTTCAGGGTAATCAATTTCACTCAATGTATATAGTCCTGTTTTTGTTTCAGTCGAATATTATCATCACGTAAACGATGGAGGTGGGATACGGTGGTAACGCGTGCGCAACCATTTACGGGGAGACAGCGGCTCATGGTGCCTGACCGGACCTCCCGCGCCACCAGTACCCCAGTCACCCGCTACATCCCAGCCCTGCGGCTCGCACGTGTGTGATGATGTCGGGTGTACCGGAGTCTATGCGTGCTGAGTCGTGCGCTTGACGTCATCTGGCTCGGTTGCTGACCAATGGAATCCTCATTATAAATTTGCTCCCGTTAGGAGGCGTGATGGCGGCGGCCGGCGGAGCCCAACATCCAGCGGCAGCCGGGCAGCTGCGCAGAGCACGCATCCAATCAAATATCCCTCCACAGATGTATCTAATGGGCGCTTCTCAAACCCCAACAAATCCTGAGCTCGTGGCACATGCTGGCTTTTGCGTGTCGCCTATGCCAAACATTTCCCGCAGCGTATGCGCCCCAATGTGGCACTCACCTCACATTGGGCCCGTGTTAAGAGCAAAGCTGCCGGATTGCTGCGTCTCAGGAAACTCAGCAAAAAGGGGGTGCCGGATGAATTGGAAACGTGTCACAGCCTCCCGTACAATCAAGCTACTAACGAGTTTTGGGAAGTCCACCTTCACCAACGATTAAGCAGTGATGTGGAAGCACCACGCGAGTCATCAGTGTCAGCAGGTTTTTGTCGGAGACCAGCGGTCTAACGATATCTGGTCTGGTTTAGGGTGCTAGTGGGACTGTGCTACTGGCTTCGGGCGTCTCAGTCATTGTTTGGCGGGCGGCGATATGCTTTGGTCAGAACTGAAATATGAAACTGAAATAGAACAGAACAGAAACCAAATATATATATATATATATATATATATATATATATATATATATATATATATATATTGGGCTCAAAATGATGTGCAAGTATGTCGAAGTGTCAGCTGGAGTCTTTATGCCATAACTGATAGTGCAATCACTCAAAAATGTAAAAGGCGTATTGCCATCGGATGCAGGGAGCGTTTTACTTCTCGGATGCTGTTCATGATATGTCCTAAAAAGAAAAGACCGTTGCGATGAATTGCCACCAAGGTGGTTGTACATCATGTGAGTAGTCATTTTCGCACTTACATAGGCCCTTGAAGACGAAAATTTGTAACATAAGTAAATGAGATTGACTGCCCACTTGAACGGTCTGGACTGAAACATAAGATAGATTTAAACACCACAGAAGAATATTACATATTTGAATCATTTCAGCAAAAGGAAGAGACGTCGTAACTGTGGTTGGGAGGCAGGCTCAGCACGGCAGTTGGAGATCGGTGGATCCAAACTGACCCTGGGGTAGATATAAAAATCCATCAGTGGTGCAGATCACTGAACCGCGCTGGTCAGTCATCACACGTGTGAGCCGTAGGGCTCGGATGAAGCGGGTGACTGAGGTACTGGTGGCGCAGTAGGTCCGGTCAGGCACCATGAGCTGCGGCTGCATGCCGACTGTGCGGTACTCGTGGTACCCTGACCGACTTACAGGCCTTTATCGACCCCGTGGCCCCGGCCAGCGTAAAGGGCCCTGTGGTCGTTATTGGGAGTCTGTCTTCACAGGCCGGAGGCCCATGAGCAAGACTCCGAATAGCCCATTATGCCCTTAGACTCTCCAATCGCGCCCTTCATCGTCGGACCCGATGGGCCCTCTAGGCTTTTCGGGCCTCCTCAAACGCCGCCTCTGGCCAACCCGTGGCCCCTTGGCAACACAGGGCCCCTGTGAGGCGCTTTTGGGCCCTGAACAATGTAAGTCGCTGAATCCAGCTTTGTTCCTGGTTGGGAAATGGGCCCTTAGGTATATTCCGCTACGAAGCCGACTGTGCATTACTGGCGGTGTCTGAACGAAGTATTGGTCCTTATCGACTCAGCGGGCCCTGATCAGCGGCAGGGCCCTCAGGCTAGCATTGGAATTCCCGGCCCTGCGGGCCTGGGCCCCTGAGTGGGACCTCCGGCCGGACTTTCGGGCCTTTAATCGTAGGCTCCAATGGGCCCTTTGTCCCCTCGGAAACTGGGGGGGGGGGGGGAGGGGACATGCCCCCCTTTGCCTCCCTGCCTACACTATTGATACGTTGCCGTTGTTACCGTTGCAAACGCGATTTTTCCCGCCGTCGTCACATTCTCTCTCCTCGAAACAGCTTTGATTTTTTTGACGTCGTAGGTCCCGATGGGGCCTGGAGCTCAATCGAAACTGTCAGTACGGATTGACTTCGAGCTGACTGATAATCTCGGAAAGTGTTGTATGTCCGTCAGAGGTTTTCTAGACCTTCAGATGTACAGGCACATTTCCATCCACCAGACCATTTTCAGCCAGATTGTGAGGCTTTGAGAATATCAATATACGGTTTGGTATAAATGTGTTGCAAGCTTGACTCACGTTTAATCTTCTTAGGTTTAATGAGATACTGCTCAAAAACGTGATGACAGGAAGACTTAGAAATATAGAAATGTTGAAGAATATTCTCTTCGTCTTTTTGTGAATCCATTTGACGATGTGTTACATGGAAGACATTGTGTGTTTTTTATAAAATAAATATATACAGATGTTTCTGGAGGAGTTTAGACCGCTATATGGAGATAATTCTGCACTATAGGCAACTGAATGTCCACCGGCGTTTTTGGCGCGGGGATGACATAACCAAGGCCGACATAACGTTGTGAAAGAACAACACGAGTTTGTGGGATACCGCTTTGGGGCAGGGTAATGGGTGCAGCCCCGGGTGTTGTGCCTCTGTCGGATTCGTGTTTTTTTACCAGAAGTGACAGCGAAGGTTTGTTTTGTAAAAGCTCTAAGTAACTAAGAAAAACAGCATAAGTCATTCTGCCTCTGCCTGGTTGCGCTCGAACCGTGCTGCCAAGGAGTAGTTGCTTCTTACTTAGCTGTTAACTGATGGTAATATTGGTAGTATTTTGTTAATTTCACACCACAATGTTATAGCGCAGCTTGAGATTGGGCTTTGGAGTTAATCAGACGTTGATTACCAACATTCATTGAAAACTAAGTCTTGACCAAACTTCAGGTACCTATGTCTGATGTGTTTTTCAGCTGTGCAATAAAACTTGTCTTAAATTATAACATTCTTTGGGGTTTTAGCTGTGTGCAGCTAAATAACCCAGATATAGTGGGTCATTGGGTCATGCTGGGGGCCATTTTGATTCATAGCAGATGCATAAAGACTAGAAATGTGTTCACATAATACCAATAATTTATTTTCATCTTGGGACATATGTGTCCATCACAGTTTTACTTGTTTACCTTTGGTCTTCCCTAGCACTCTGTTTAATGCATTTTTAGGCTGTATGCAAAGCATCATTCACATGCTGACTAGGACTTCCATCATACTTCTGTTAAATGTTTTGAAACTGAATGTAGTGCTGTTAATGCTCTGATATCCAACTTGTCTCTTATTAGCTGATGGTAATTGTTTATGCTAAATGTGAATGTGGCATTATGTGAACCAAATGTGTGTTGTCAGTTTTGAGGCAGGACAGCTCAGCCATATAAATTATCTGCATAGGGCATTTCAGTGAACAGCTGTGTAGGGGTAGAGCATATTTGTCATACAATTGGAAAGTTGCTATTGCATAAAATTGGTGATGGCCATCAGTACTTACTGACATTGTTAGCATTTCTTATATCAATCCCAGATCTTTGGAAGCGCTTGAAAGTTGTATGTGATATTTGCTTTTTGCTCCACATGAATATAGCAGTGCCACAAAGGCCTGTAGGCATGTGATATTTGCCTTGTGTTTCACATGAATATAGCTTTGCCACTTAGAACTGTAGCAGCAACTAAAAAACAAACATGTTCAGCCCTTGCACAATGAGATCACAGATATTCTAGTCCTCTCAACTGTGTGTAAGCACAGTATTCCAAAATTCATCCAGCAGGGTGTGCAAGGTGTAAATATAAATTTTTGCTGCCAGAATCCTGGCTCTCTGCCCCCCCCCCCCCCCTCCAATGCATTTAATTGATGTAAGTATATTGCCCTTTGGACCCTGACCTAGACATCTGGCCTGCTCAGCCCATCTCAAGTCTGAGGCACATAAATACCAGTTTGACAGACACCCAGTTTGATGCTGAATAGCCGATTTTGAGCAAGGAGAGGGGCTGAAGGCAATGAGCTCAAAGCTGGGGTGTTGCAGTATGAAAAAATGTGGACATCCCTGCCACCCAGGTGGCAGAAAATTGGAGTGCTGCACAGGCCTGCTAGCAAGCATTGTATATTATACATGTATACAATATGCACATAGAGGCAGATCTAGGATTTCATCAAGGGTAATGGACACACAATATGGTGTTCCCCCCTAGAATTTGAGGCCTGAGGAAACATTGGATTTTGGGTATTAATTTTTCGTTAAACTTCATCATATTTTCTGCTTCCTCTGTGTGCTGCCTATTTCAGGGACTATTCCATGGTTACCTATGGTACCAGTATGCCATTCAAACCCTACCATTGAATTCGATTTTCCAAGCTGCGACAAAAGCCAAGAAGGGTGTAATTGTTTAGCTGCTCATCTCCGGTGTTTGTTAACACAATTTACAGATATGACAGTTGCCAATTTGCCCTCAATCAATTGCAAGGTGCATGATGTGATGAAACAATGATGTATTGAGGTGCATAGTCACTACCATGTAAAGTAATTGTGTTGTCTTGAGCAGTCTTTTCCACTTACAAGTGTATCAACTGTTATAAGTGAGCTTTTTCATCTCATCTGATGCTTGCTTCAATATCTTCAAATGTGGAACAGTCTCCTTAAAGGAAATGGGGTTTAAAGTGCCCTGGTTGATTAAAAGAGAATGCTCCACATTTAAAGATATTGAAGTATCAGGCATGATGAAATAAGCTCACTTATGGCTGCTGGTATACTTTCAAGTAGAAATGACTGCTCTAGGTAACAATATTTTTCTTTTGAGGAAATATGCTCTGCAATGCATTATTGTTTTATTGTGTCATGGAACGTTGGTATGACATTGAGGTGTTGCCAAACAAGCCGTGCGAAATTGATACGCATGTAGTACTTTACTTCGCGGAGAGATGGCAGTGGTGGTGGTGGAATTTTCGCTGAGCAAGCATCGTTATCTGCCCGTGTTTCGGCTCGTTCTCGTGGTGTTGCTGCACTTTTTTTCTATGCCGTTACCCAAGAACAGGTAACCAGGAGTGCCCCTCCCTCAATCCCAGCGACGCAGTAAACCGTACATTAACACCAGAAAACATAAAATCAAGTCGCGGCACTCCCAGCTAGGAAGATGAAACAAGCTTTAAAAAAAAACAGGCGAGGAGGTGGAGCAGACCCGAGGGAATTGTGTTATGTGAGAGGTAGGGAAAAGTCATAGATGAAAAGGCTTAAAGTAGTCATTAGCCAAAATCAGCTAATGACAGCCTGCTACAACCGCCCAATAATCTACAACCACTCAATTCCCCGTGTTAGTAAGGGTTATACAGTCACAAGTCGGAGGGGGCAATTATCTGGTCATTTTTGTGCTGGGTTTTGAGCTGGATTTCCAGGGAGTCCACCCAGCTAAGCAGAGCTTGTTGCTGGGAGAACTCCCGGAGCCAGCGCCATGAATTTGGGTATATGTGCATTGATCCAGAAGCTTAGTAATCTTACTTGCATTCACATGCTCGGATGCGTCGCTATTCTTAAGTTATTCGTTTATAATAGAATATGTTCAATGTTCCGGCCAAAAATATTGGGGGAGCCCAAGCCAACTTTGGGCGGCCTGACCCAACATTGGGGGGGGGGGGAGGGGCCGACCCTTACGAAATAATACAAATTAAGACACCTGCAAGCTAGTAATAATGTCAATAATATGTAGCACAAAACGTGGCTCGTGACTGAAATTTTCACAGCTTTCTCAACGTTGATTGAGAGTCAACTGACGTCCGCTTTCTTTCACGGACGCCACATCTGAACGGCTCGACGATCATGTTTTTCCTGGCATTGTACGCCGCATGGTCTATGGGATGACATGATCTGAATGACGATGCTTTGGCGTCATGTGTACCTGAATGACCTTGGAAGCAGTTAGCGCGAAATAGTATACATCTATTCGGGGGCATGTAGCTCGGAAACTAGATGGTTTTAGAGCTGAGAAGGGCAGGGCTGTGAACTGCGCCAAATAGTCTTCAAAATGACTAGTTCAGTACAAAACCCCACACAAATGTGGAACATTTCCTTTAACAGGGCGGGTCCCGGAGAAGGGTCTTCTGCAAGTGCGAGTGAATGGAAAGAACCCTTGAACTATGAAGAGGGCCCTTGAGCACCGAGTACCTTCGTATATTAACCTACATAGCCCCAGTAATAACGCAGGTCTCTCCGACCAAGTGAGGTTAACTCATTTTTTATGTGAATGATTGTAAAGATGAAGGCCCCTGAGCAACCAAGGGTCCCCAGGCAGGTTAACATATGTGGCCCCAGCGACAGCACAGAGAACATTCCGAGCGAATATAACCCCTGGAAGGCACCTGGTGGATAAAGAGGGCCCTGGCAGGTTAGCATGTAGTGCCCGCGAACAGCGTAGGACCCTCCGAGCAAATGCAACGAAATCAATGACAATGGGGGAGGAGCCTTAGCGATCAGAGTGCCTCGGCAAGTGGACATATAGAGGATCTCCGGCAGCAGGGTAGAGGATCTGGACAGCCTAATGAGCCCCGCAATTTCTCTAATCACCACCCTGTCCATCCAACGCCCTCTCAATCAGCAAATAATTGTCTCGCCACGAACCCTCAATTCTTACCTGCTGCCCTTCCTGATGGCTGGAGGCCCAAAGACCTTAATTTGTTGCCTTATGGATGATGTTCAAAAGCTGCGGCCCTTGTACCAGTTATGAGCCTCTTCGAAGTGTACGGGCCCAAGGCGGCATGACTACCTACCTCTTCCCGCACTAGACCCACCACTATGCACATACATGCATTGGGTTACTATATCCCATGATATAGTTGTATTTTGAACTTAAAAACGAACGTCATTTTCCGGCAGTTTATTTCCGGATGGTTATGGAATATACCTAGTTGTCTATGCTACTGAACCACGTCTGGATTGATGTGATATGCAAGAAAAAAACAGCGTTCAATCATGTGATTTTTGCTTTCAGAATTCAAATCAAGATGTTTCTTAAGCCTTTTAGAGTCAAATCAAATTCTCAAATTAAGGGATCCGACAGGTGAGTAATTATTTCCAAAAACTTAGGTGTCTGCGATGCTGTTATGTTTCCGTTACACTCCTGCCGTACTTTACCTTCGAGAAACTATCTACCGTTCGGTATAAGCAAGCGCATTGAAATATTGTCTTGTTACGTTCTGTATTAAATGTTTTTGCACCTTATATTATTATTAATTCCAAAGTTAAATGAATGCCATGCAATGTGCCTGTCAGGCTTTCAGGCTGAGAAAAGCTCAAAGCCTGACTGGTTGGGTGTTCCCTTCTTGTGTCACCAAGCGATTTGCATTGCTGGATTTGATGTCTGAAATTTTCTGCAAAATCTGTTCTGAATATAATCGTAATGACACTTCCGAAGTTTGTAAGAGTTTATACCATAGGGCACACACACTGCTGCCTTGAAAATTGGCGGGCAGAATCCAAGTGCATCTCACAATTATTGTCTCCCTTCATCACGAAGCACATGACATCAATGACCCTCGTTTCCGCCCCACAGGAAAAAGCTGCGCTCGCAGTTGGCGGCTGCCTTCCCGGTGCTGACGGCCGAGGCATGCGCCGAGCTGATCCCGACCAAGGACGAGGTGTCCGTGTCTCGCCTGGTGACGCACGGCGGTGCCACCGTCGTCTGCTACCTGTCGGCGCGCGAGCCCGTGCTGCTGGAGCTGGACGGCCGCCTGCTGCCGACCGTGTACACCCTGTGGCGTTACCCGGACCTGCTGCCCACCTTCACCACGTTCGCGCCGGTGCTGACCAAGCTGCGCGGCGGCGCCGACCTCATGCTGCCGGGCGTGATCGTCGACCGCGAGCTCGGCCTGCGCGCCTTCGGCCGACTACAGAAGGGCGTGCCGGTCGCCGTGAACACGGACGCCAACCGGGCGCCGGCGGCCGTCGGCTGGGCGGCGCGCAGCAGTGAGGACATGTACATGGCGGCCGGCCGCGGCAAGGCCGTGCTGCTCGTGCACGTGCTGGGGGACCTGCTCTGGGAGCTCGGCAGCCGGCGGCCGGCGCCCGAGCTGGGCCCTCCGCCCGCGCTGGCAGCGGCTGGGGACGTTGCGGCCGCGGAGGCTGCGGAGGGTGACGCGGAGGACGGGGAGGACACGGATGGCTCCGAGGGGGAGCCGGGGGAAGAGCAGCAGGAGCAGGCCGACAGGGACGGGGAAGTCGCCGGGGAGGCGGAGGAGCGGACCGACGCCGACTCAGAGACGGCCAGGCTCATTGCCGAGGCCCTCCGCCTGGAGGACAGCGACGCGGCGCCGCCGGCCGAGCCGGCACCCGAGCCCCCGAAGCCCGTCAACATGGACGAGCTGCTGTACGACGCCTTCCGACAAGCGTGGCGGACGTCCGCTAAGCGTCTCGAGCTGCCCGTCCTCGTCTCGAACTTCTACGCGCAGCACATGCAGCCCAACAGCCCGCACCCGCTGGACGTGAAGAAATCCTCCTACAAGAAGATCTCCAAGTTCCTGGAACGAATGCAGAAGGAGGGCCTGGTGGAGGTGAAAGAGCTGGCGAAGGGCGTACAGAGCATCGTGTCCGTGGCGCTGGAGCACCCGGAGATCCGCTCGTACAAGGTGCAGGACATCTGTCGGGAGGAGGAGCCGGCCCCGGCCGAGCCCGAGCCGGCCGGACACCGCTCCAAGACGATCGAGCGCATCGAGGAGCTCTACATCGTCAGCGGCAACGTCTCGGCCGTCTTCAAGGAGCTCAAAATCGCCAAGGGCACGCCCATGTCCGCACAGGACGTCAGGAAACACCTGACGCAGTATGTCAAAACGAAACAGCTGCAGGATGAAGATAACAAAAGGTATGTGTAACGTTTTGGGGCGGATAATTTGCGTGATTTGGTGGGGGCCAGTGGCATTATGGCACATACGTGAATGGAGAGAAGGTTCCGCTCGTACGCCTTATAATATGTGAAAGCAAGATGGAGTACACGCGATGCAAATAAAACCTTGCGCCAGCACTATTGCTGGCTGGCGGGCCGCAGCCACTGTGTCGCTGGGATAAATTAAAACCAGCTGTCCTCTGATGGAATCGGGGCGGATTATGTGGTCCTTGCTGATGTTCGTCACGTGACACCATAGCTATGCAACATACGACTGTTGCTTTTCCTGCGACCAAAACCCTTTGCTGTAAGCATTCTGGGCTGCGGCACCAGTGCTCCGGCATCAGCTGACGGACGCGTGCCGCCGCTGCCCGCAGCCAGGTGCGGCTGGACCCGGTGCTGGCGTCGAGCCTGACGGGCCGGGCCGACGGCGCCCTGGCGGCGCTGCGCTGGGACGAGCTGCACCAGCGCTGCCTGCAGCGCATGTCTCCCGGCCACCTGGTGCTGTTCCGCGGCGAGCCGCCGCTGGTCAAGAAGGGCGCCGTGCCCAGCGTCGAGCTCAACACCGCCACACGCTCCGGCAACAAGAAGGTGGGACGCGTGCTGGGCCGGGCCGGGCCGAGCTGGGTTGCCGGCCGGCGCGCAGGCCACAGCCGGCGCTCCGGCCCCTGCGGCGAATGCTGGCGTGGGCCTGGCTTTACACCTATTGTAGCCGTGATGTAGCATGCATGTCACAAAATAATGGCGTAAGACAGGTTGCCGATGTGTAATCCTTGGATGCGTTCACAGCTGTGTTAGACGCCGTTTGTTGACGATGCGTTTACCTAGTACAGTATCACATTGCGACGGTGCCAAATCTGCCGGGCTTGGCTGGCCCTTGCCTGTACATCCGCCCGCGGTTTTTGTCAGATCACGGCCATGCTGACCCCGTCCGTGTTGTCTCGCACGAGTTGGATGCGCGTCTCGCTGCTTGTTGTCGAATCCTACGGCGCTGAACCTGCCAGCGTGCCCAGGCGCTCGTCAACGCGGCGTCTGTGGGTCAGAGGACAGCGTTGCCGAGGATGATACGCGAAATTCGTTAGAGTTCAAAACCAGCTTGCAAGTCATGTCATTCCACAGCAGCGTTATAGGATCAATGCTATTTATCTCCAAGCTTGAGGGAGGGAGCAGCTGTCCCCTCTGCCCCCCCCCCCCCCCCCCCGGTCGGCGCTGACCGCCGTCTGCCTCACGTGCGTCTCCGTCGGCCCGTGCGTCAGATCACCATGGTGCTGAACCTGCCCGCGTTCGGGATCGACCCGGCCGAGTTCGCGCACCGCTGCCAGGTGGGCGTGGCGGCCAGTACCAGCGTCGGCGAGGCGCCCAACCGGCCGCCCGGCACCAGCCAGGTCATGGTGCAGGGCAACCAGATCCGCTTCATCGGCAAACTGCTGCAGGGTGAGGACGGATGGCCGCCGTCCGGACGCGCTCGGGGGCGCGTTAGCGTTGTGTGTATGATGCGTCTCGTTCACGCTCTCGGCACGTTGCAAAGCACCACATCCCAGTGGGAGGTTCGGTGTTTTTCGCACGCGCGTCACATTTGCGTCGCCGCCGTTCGCCGCCGCTGCACATTACAACTTGTGAAACGGTCTCTATCGTTCTCACAAGATGACAGTACTAAAGGCCTTGACGGGGAACGCAGCAGACACTGCTTATGGGGATCAGGGACTGCTTTCCAGACGCGCGCTTATCGCGCGCTTTGGTGACTGCAGTGTGTAACCGCACCTCAGCGACGCGGAATGATGTGGCGTGCAACGTCCTATTTTACCCATGCCAGGGATAAACGCGCTCAGCCAGAACGTACTCCCTCAACGCATGTTGTAGAAGTGTCATTGGGTCGGGTCGGGCCGCTGACAAAGGCTCCGCGCAGTCCGTCTGATCTTGGCCGGGTGGGATCACCTTGAGACAATAAGAGTCGCCAGAGATCAATGAATAATCGGGCGTCTGAGCGCGTTCCGACGACTCGGTTGCGTGCTGGCCCCTTGTTGTGCGGCCGGGCCACAGTACTGAATTTCCTCCCATCTGTGGATGTCCTTCATCAGCGCCTGATACCCGGCAGAGCCTCTGCCGTCTCCATAGCCAGTGGTGTTGCCCAACCATATGTTATTCGCTGGCTTGAAAAACAACACCGCCCTTTCTGTGTTGTTTATTGCGTCGCGACGTTGCATTTGAAAAGGATTGCGTGCCTTCGTAGGGGTGCCCCGTTATGTGGACACACCCCTATATTAAGCAATTTGTGTGGCAACTCAACGCTAAGTGTAATCATTTGAATTTCGATAGATTACGAGAAAACAACGGGATTGGTGTGTCTAAAGGGAAAATGTTCTCTGTCCTTTCAGAAGACTACAAGGTTCCCAAGAAGTACATCAAAGGCCTGGAGAAGGCTCCGAAGAAGTGATGGTTATTTTTTGGTGTTGTCTTTGTGATATCGTGTTCATCTTGAACCGTGTGTTGCTGACACTTTGTTTTTGATAACAGAGACATGACGGTGTGGGGACAAGAAATAATATGTCATCGATTTCCGTGAAAGGCCTTATTTGCGACAGACAAACTGTACCGTAAAAGAATTGTGGAAGGCATAGCCACTGCCGAGATCATGATGGCCACAAGCATCTTTTGCCTGGCGTGTTCAAAGCAGATCAGTTCAGAATTGTTACACCCACTTACGGAGTGGTGCGATGCCGGTAAAAAAACTGGTTTCGTTCATGAGCTCAAGTAACTTAACTGCTGGCAAACGAAGCCACTCAGGCAGCTGTCATCTTGTCACCCCGCGTGACGTCACACTGTCACCGACGGCCAGCTTCAGCACCGCCTCTCCATCCTCCGGCTCTGGTCCGCTGACGGGACCGGCGAGGGGGGGGGGGGGGGGCGGCGGCCTTCCTGCCGCGTCAGCTGGCACTACGGCGGAAGAGGCGTCGTCGCCGACACCGAACGATCGAACGTCGGCCTGGACGACCTTCGACACGGAGCCGTGCGGGGGCCCGATGATGCGGAGCCCGTGGCTGACTCGGGGTCATCACACCCGCTATTTCTGGTGGTCAGATACCCGTTCGCACTGTGTACCTCCGTGGTACGGATGCCGCGCAGAGTGGGGCCAGTTGAAAGGTGGGAAATGCGACTGGAGTATCTATGGTTATTGTACAAGTAAATCTTCCGAATATAAACAAATGTGACGACTTTCGTCGAACGGCGCTCCTATCGAACATGCACCAACTCAATTCTGCGATGGCAATACAACACGGTAATGTATCGAGAAAACTGTCCTCACGCCTCCGATGGCATTCCAAACAACGGTAATCTACCGGGAAAAACACTCACCCCTTGCCACCGTCCGCGCTCCGCGGCTAAACAACTCAGTTTAACGGTCAGGAGCCGGACGCCTGGCGTCGCAACTGCGCCCAGACAAGCGCGCACAGATCCTCGCGGCGGGGGAAGGGCGGGGCCTGGTCGCTCGACCTACCCTGATGACGGACAGTCGCCGGCCGCAACGAGCCGCGCGGCGCGGCGACACAACAGCAACACCTATGGCATCTTCGCAAGCTACAGTGGGCGTCGCGCGAGAGGAGCGCGCAGGCGCCGGAAGCGAGAAACTCCGAGCGATGCGGTGACAGCGTTCGGGCCGTGCGCGACGCGTATTGCACTCGCATTGCATTGCATTGCATCGCGTCGCCCCACACTGCACCGCACCGCATCGCACCGCATCGCTCCGTGGTCGGCATCGCTATCACGGCGGCGCGTCCAGAACTGGAACTGCACGAGAGCTGTCTCCTTCGCCGCCATCGACGGACAGGGAGGCTCCGGCTCATCAAAGCGACCCAGCCGGTCGACCGGTTCTCCTCTCGTCGTGCGTCCGCCAGACGGCTGCTGGCGCGGTGCCGAGATTGGCGGCCGGCTCGGGCGGCCCCACTCAGCTGTCCAGTGGACCAGTGTCCAACCGGGCGGGCCCGCTGCCGATGGGCGGCGGCCGGCTCGGGCGGCTTCCCCTCAGCCTGTTCAGCGGGACCGATGTCCAGCCGGGCGGCCCGCTGCCGATGGGCGGCGCCTCAGCCGTTGGAGGGCAACCTGAACAGCGGGAGCGGGGCGTGGCCGGCAGCCGGAGGACATCTCGGTGGTGTCGCCGCCGCCGGTGGCCAGCGAGCCGGGCAGGCTGGCCGACTGGCACGGGTCGTGCCGGCTCAGGAATGCCTCCAGCGTGTTCCCAACCGCCGCCCACACGCGCACCATTCACGTGACGTTCCGCTCAGCAACGGGAGGCAACACGCGCGGACGCGGTCAACACTGGCGTGGCGTGACGGCTCGCGGACCACGTTCGTCCACAACGGGACGAGTGGAGTCGCGAGGAATTTCCACTTGTACAGTTCTAGTTTGTGAACTGAGATTGGGGATACATCGGCAGCAGTTACTTACGGCTTAACGCCAAGGTCATTCGGCGAGATCGACATTCGTTTCAAAATGCGTGGACATTTGTTGTGTAGCAGGTATCTGTGGGGGGGCATAGTCATGAGCACGGAAGCCTTCGCGCACAGCTAGTCGCTATCTGCGTACCCGACCCGAGGCCCGTGTTGCGGGCACCGGCCGTCCTCCGCCTCGCGCATGCGCCGCCCTCCGGTGACGGCAGCTACACTCACCCGCGTATGAAGACGGTGCGCCCCGCCACGTTGTACTGGCCCTCCGCCACACGGCGAAGCTGCACGTCCGACATGCAGTTGCTGCGGCACTTGCAGCCGGCCGCCGACTCCTCCACCATCTGCTGCACCTGCGGAGAGGGGGAAGGCGTCACCGCTGGAGGGTCAGGCGGGGCGGAGAGCGACCGTCGCTGCCCACCTTCTTGACGCCAATCCCGGGGGATACCTTAATGATTCAGTTTCATATATTCGGTAGGATTCAGTTCTGCAAGCGTTAAAACAATGGTGTGGGCCCTGTGCTATCATGACAGGAGCGGTGTTCGTCACAGGTTCTGGGGTTTTGCGTCGAAGGAATGTGGCACCCCAACGCATCAGATGCTAAACGACCCTATTTTGTGGTTTGATTTTACACGCCGTCTTGACTAGCGGGCTGTTCTCTTAACCTTCGCCCTGATAGGGGGGGGGGGGGGGGCATGCGATTTCGAATACCTCCTCTCCGGCATGTTGCGCTATCGGGCCCAAATTTTCGGTAACCTATGGAGCACCCATCGCGCGTGATTGGACACGAAGAACGTGTTCCCAAGTTTTCTGGTTTCGGACCTGTGGCGGTTTTTGAGGAAAACCATGGCGATCTACGGCCGACGCGGGCGGCGGGTGGCAACCGACGGTGCCGCGGAACGCACGCGCCGCGGGCTGACATTGTTACATTAACGAATTCATATTTCATAAATTTGTTCTCAAAACACGTCAAAATATGCACCAATGTACTCAGAGCTGGACAAGGAATACGTCTGTTTCGGTTTTATATCGCCACGGGACATTTTCTGGTATTTGTATTAAGTGGAAAAGTGAGATTTTCTGAAACATTTGACCTCCAGCCTGGCATAATGGGGTCCGTTTTGAC